TCTTCTATAGTCCCTATGGGCTTTGACAGAAACTTCTGGATTCCTTTCAAAGAGGAAGCTTGGGTGTGTTAACGCAATCCTCTTCGCTTAACTAATTCTCAGCTTTGTTTTTCAGTCACATTTGGCTGCCTCTTGATTGTGGCTTCCCTTCGTGTTGGTATTTATCCACGATCCCAGAGTGGGTGGGGATGGAGGGGGCACAGCTAAGCCTGCCACCCAATACGCTCTCAACCTGCTCCGGAAGAGAGGATCAACCCTTGCTGGGAGGATTTATCACACACATGCCTTCTACCTCTGTTTCCCTTCGCCTTCCCACTCTCCTGGCTGAAACATCTGCTTATGACATCTTTCTTATCCTCGGGGCAACCTGTCTCCTAGCCTTCTTAGACAGAAGGTGTTTTCACTCTCACCTCTGCAAGAAACCCTATAGACCAAGTTTCATTTTCAAGGGAGGGGCCTCTGGAAAGCTGGGCGGTAGGGATTTTCCAAGCAGAAGGTGACTTTGCTTTAATTTCTGAGGAGCGCAGTCGAGGGGTAGACACTTGGGTGCAAGCTGGGCTCTCTGGTTCCTGCTCTGAGGCTGCCAGTTACCCGCTGTGTAAGTTTGGGCAAGTTATATAATTTCTCTGTTCCTCAGATTTCTCATCTTTAAAATGATGATACTGGCAGAACCTTTGTTATACAGTGGTTGTGATGACAAAAAAATAATTAATGTGGAAGTAGCTCAGAACAGTGACTGATAAGTAGTATTTGATATTTGTTAGCAGTTATTCTTTTATTATTATTATTATGAATAATAAAAATTATCTTTCTTCTATATATTTGAAGACATAATATCAATAGAATATGGTAAAGTGATAAATGTAAATATTTTTCTATATAGGATAGCTGTTGTATATTTTTGTATTTCAGTAACCATTACTAGCTACTAATAATATGAAATATGGTATAGTTGAAGGCCTTCTATCTGGTTCAGAGTCATTTTAAATCTGTAGTTGTTTATAATTAAAGAAAGATGGCAACAACTTCTAATCACTGTATTGCATCAAGGGTCTGTCTGTATATGAGAAAATGTACTAGTTTGAGAGCGTTAAAGTCTCATTATTGATCATTACACTGTTTACAGTGGTTTAGCAATAAGAAGTAAATGGTCTCGTAATACCTGTCACTTTTATTTCTTCATGACACGAAGATAAGTATATTTTAATTTTGTTTTCCTTTTATCTCAGTGCTTAACGGAGAGCGTAGCATTGGGATTGGGAGTGACTTTGTTTTCTTTTTTGTTTCAATCTAGTAGTTTCAATGCTATTTCCTACTGATTAGTCTCCTTTCTTTTCACATGACCTCACAACGGTGTTATACACACCGCTAAGATTTTATAAATGATAAAGTCACTGAGATTATAAATCAAAGATAGATTAATGACACAATGACACAATCTATCTTTGATTTATAATCTCAGTGACTTTATCATTTATAAAATCTTAACGGTGTGTATAACAAAACAGAAACACAAACTTTTCCATTTTCCTCAAAATAAGGGATTTCAAACATTTGTGAGTAGCAAGAATTTTCCATTGACAAATATTCACAGGATCTAGATTAAACAGTAGACTTAATACATTATAACAAGGAACACTTCTAACCACTTAAAGTTTGGGGTTGCCTGATTTAAAAAAAAAAAACACCATAGAGCAGTGACAACAAAGGAAAAATGATTCTGTTTGTAGACCATTATATATGTTGATTGTAGTCTCTAGCTATAGGGAATGGCTTTGATTTTCTTGAAAATACAGTGCAGTTCCTAATCTTCTGGCCTTTAGCTACACAACTAAACTTAGAACATATCCACTCCTTCTCCCTTCAGGCATGTCTGCTTGCTCTGTAGGTCCCAGCTTCCTTGTTATTTCCTCCTGAAAGTGTCATCTCTGTGCACGTTTTTATAGCACCTCCTCGAATATGTCCACTATTATATAATTGCTGTGGGTGTATCTGTCTTACTCATTGGACTGTGAGCTCAGTGAGGACAGGCATGACATTGGCCTTGATCACATAGTAGCTTTACTTCAGAGCACAGCACTTAGAGCATTTCAATGGGCGATCGATATTTGTTGAACAAATTAATTTGGAGTAGACTGGAATAAGTTTTGTTTTTACCTTTGTGTATCCTTTATCTAATTACTAATACAATAGAAGCCCCCTTTCTGGATCAGGACCCATAGCTGTTTGTCATTCATTGAGTAAGAGAAAACATACAATGATCTGTGTTTTTGCTGTGTGCAACAAATCAGACAATCAGATCAAGTATTCAAATGGTCTCTCCTTAAGTGGTTGCTGTATAAGATCAAGGAGGTGATGTGATTTGACTGACTTTGTATTTTGGGCAGTTCCCTTAGCATATTGCTATGGGGATTATGGTCACCTAGATCAGATACCTCAATTTTGCCTTACCTCTTCACCATACTTCCTGCTTTGATGATATCTTTCTGCTTCCTATAGCTTTTCTACAGCTTCCTTGGGCCTCTGGAATGGTACTAATCTCAGGGTCCCACTGTCCTCAAATATTCTGCTTCATACAAGTCCATGTGGTCTCTAGTTAATGGCAGCTTTATATGATCAAGAATGGGATTTTTCTTGATGGACTTTATAGCTTTAGCAGGTCCCTTAGCACATTGCTACAGGAATTAAAGTCAATTATCTGCGATGGAGCCAGACTGTGTTGGTACCACAGAGTGCTATTAAAAATATTGTCTTAAAGGGTTCCAGCACAAGTTTTACATGCACACTGGTCCTGTAAAATATGAGATCCACACCCTATTCCGCAAAAACAGTAATTGACAAGAATCACATCAATTAGATTTTATTGTGCACTAAACATTTCTGTGAATTGTACTTATGTCAGTTCGGTTTGCCCTCTTTCATTTCAGATTTTCATTTGTACTTTGCGCTCTGTCTCTCACCTCTGCTTACTTTATGAATACACTTTTAATACTTGGTCAACTAAGAGTCATATTCATATCTGTATCTTTTGAAAACTTGAAGTCAATCATAGTTTTTCTCCTTATTTAAATATTTTTCAGATAATTGACTTTAATTCCTATAGCAATGTGAAGCAGAATATTTGATCTAGAGCACACAATGACTAAAACACAGCTAAATGTCATTTTGTTGATTTTAAATAACTCAAGCACATATATGGCATATATTTCTTCAGCTATCGAGTATATAATTTTGTTTTTGAAAGAACCATTGATTTTTTTTGTTGGCAGCTTTTGAATCTTCTTTTTTTCTTCGTTAAGATAAGGATAGGAATCTTCTTTTCCCCATGATTCACCAGGTTAGGCAGAACATCACAGACCCTCACCAGCTCAGTTGTATTAGGAACAGTGGAGATTGTGTGTGAAACAAAAACCAGTCCTGGGTTACTCAATCACTAAGTCATTTGGGACAAGTCACTACACTGCCAGTCTGGGCTCTTAGCTTGAGGCTCTGGACAGAATTCACCGCCATCTCTGAAGTTCATTGTCTCCAATTTATAAAATGAGCAGTTCTAAAATTCTATTCTTTTCAACACATGTTTGACCTACTTTGGTCAGTGTCCAAGTCTCTGGAAATATTTAATTTATTGCAGCTTCACTGCTTTGAAATTTGTTTATTGGATCTCATAAAGACACATGAGAAAATGTTACACTGTGTGTGAATATTATAGTAAAATTGATTGGAATGTGCTGGGCTTATCATGCTTAATCAGCTATGGGATTGTTTTTCTATTTTTACAAAGTAAAACTCCTTCTTGGGTTCCAATGTTTTATACACTCTGCTCTTCTCAAATAAATAAGTTCTCCATTTTTTTCCTTTTCCTCTTATTTCACCAGAAATATCTTTCACAGTATTTGAATATTCTTTGGTCACAATTTATGCATGATTGTTCTTACTTTAATGGGGTATTACTATTTCTGCTGTCTAGGGTGAATTACCAAAACACTTAAACACAGACATCATGAGGGTTGACTGTGGCCAGAGTGTTTAGCAAAGTTGTTTTTTTTCTTTCTTTCTTTGTGAAATAGGTTGCATGAGACACTGGTGTTGTCATTCTAATGGGTTCTCTTTGAAATTGATGGCCCAGTTGTGACAAGTCAAAGTATCCATATGATGTTATAAAGTGCTAAAGAAAATTAAATGAACAGTTAATTTAGAAATGGGGTCTGAGCTATAACTCCTCTCCCTGGAAGGGAGGATATTATGGGCAACATGCACATGGGGAATGATTTTTTTCTGGTAATAAAGTTGGGAAAATAGCAACCAGAACAGAACAAAACTATTCATGATGCCGTTCAGTATGTAAAGAACAAAAAAGAATTTTCACTGTGCAAGAACCTCTACTACTATATGTTTGCAATGATGCCTTCATGCAAGGGGAAACAGATGTTTATCTGTTTTTCTTTTGGTTTTATTTTCTCTTTACACTGCCATTTTGTCAGTACGTGGTTTCATAAAGCTGTAGGATTCTCATAGGAAAACGACCGAGGCCGTGTGCTTTGGAAGCCGATGTGTTGATTTTCTGGCTGGATAGTAATATTTTATTGTAGCTGGGGGGAGTGTGTGACTAGGAGTGTTAGAGGCAGGAAGTCTAACACCACCAATACCATGTCTAGAACTGAGCTATCGCCTGTGTGTTATGTGCTTCATGCCATTGAATGAATATTGTGTTACTGGGGGTTGTTTTTATTATTTTGTTGTTTGGATATCAGAGGTTTGTCAGATGGCTCTGTTTCTTTGGAACACGAGATGGAAAGTTTTGTTGCAAAGCTTCTTTCATGGAGATAACTTTATGTCTTGGCGATTACGTCCCATAAAACTTGATCGGAAATCGTCTTTGTGAGTTGCCGCCCTGTGTGCTCCTAAAAGGTCGGAAGTGGAGCATTAGTTTTAACTCAGAGCTATGTTTGCCCGGCGTGGCTTTTGGCCACGTTCTTCATCTTACCACTTTCTGCCTACAGAACATCACTCCCACCAGCCTTTCTTCAGGGACTCAATAGCCTTGTACAACCCATCCCTGCTGTACATCACAACCAAGCTTTGTGGGCATCTTCCTTGGCTACTTGCATTGCCAATACTATATACCATTGAGGTTCAGTCATTCACCTCTCCTGTCTCAGTGAGTATTAACTGAACATTTGGGGCAGATTTTTTTTGACTGAAATGAGTATACTTTAATGCCAATTCTTCCTTACTAAAACTTCTTTGTTTCCACTTGCATTTTGCACTTGCATTTTGTAGCCATGTCACCCTGGTTTTATGTCTTTACTGGTTGGCATCTTAAGATATTCATTTCAGCTGGTACACACCTATATGCTCCCTGTAATTTTGTGCCTGATTAATGTTCTATCGTATGTTAGTTAAGCAGAGCCTGAGAGAATGCCTGTCTTCCAGTATTGTACACCATTTATCTTCTTTCCCAAGAACACCTTTTTTGAAAATCTTCACCCAAGGATATGTTTCTATTGTTTTTGTTTGTTTGTTTTTTGAGAGAGAGGGAGAGAGAGAGAGAGAGAGAGAGAGAGAGAGAGAGAGAGAGAGAGAGATTGGCTGCCTTGTTGACGAGCACAAGAGACTTGTGGACAGTCTGAGAAAAGGGAAGTGTGTGGAAGGCTGCCTGCCCCGTTTATTGGAATTCCGACATAGGGGAGACTTAGCGGAGTATCGAAGGCGGCTCCCCTAATTATTCCTTGATCTTTCCAAACAAGTCTGTGCATGTGCAGACCCCGGGGTGTTTACTGGAATCCTTATGCTTAGTCCCTGGATGCCCCTGCCTAGAGGACAATGTAAACACGTGTCCTCCCCAGATTACTCACCTACTGATTGTATCTAAGGATAAAAATGCCAATAAAAGGCAGGAAATCAAGGCTGCCTAGCTTTTTCAGCGGGCCGTCCCTTAGCCCTCTCCCCCACAGTGAAACTGTCGGAGTAATCTGTTCATCCATTGTTCAGGGGCTACTGGTCAGCCCCAGCACTGCCTCCCATATACACCCTGACCGGGGATGAAACTGTAGCCTAGGAATGTGTCCTGACCAGGAATTGAACCCGCCACCTTTGGTGCAAGGGGTAATGGCTCCAATCAACTGAGCCACTTGGCCAGGGCCCCCCAGAACACCTTTTGATTGTTACTCCAAACTCTCCTATGAGATGCACTGTATGAAACACGATTTCTTTCCTTCTTTCCCCCCCTTGAGTTGCATGTTTAATGAACCTGAGTGAAAAGAAGGGGGAGAAGACATTTTTTTAAGGGGAATAGAAGTCAGAGTCATCTTTTGCTTTCCCTGGAAACAGGTTGCTCAGCATCCAAGGTGGAGTCTAAACTATACAGATATTTCTTCATCTTTTCCTTTAAGGATAAATAAATAAAGGACAAGTGTCAGTCTGGTGTGGACAGGCTGTTTCTTTGTGCCTTAATGGCCACAGTCGCCCAGATGTTGAAATGCTCTAAGTGGGAAAAGAATTTTCTTTCAGCTTCTTTTCTGCTAATGGTGTTTATTTGATGTAAATATTCAGTTCTTATCTTGATTCTTAACATATGTTTATTCCCATTTAATTTATGTTTTATATCTTTCCACTGGAAACTGAAAAAAAAGTGTTTTCCTCCCAAAAGTCAGTTACTCTGCGTGGCCTTGTTACCCCAAGGTTGGGCTTTCTTTCTTTTCAGGTGATAACCCACAGAATTGGCTTGATATAAGGGGTTAGTGCTGAAAGTTCATCCTCTCCTTTGGTTATACGTAACTCCAGGCATGAAGTGACCCATTTCGTTGTTTCTGAGGCCAATAATCATTCTTTTCTTTTGGCATCTGGCAGGCTAGGGATTTTTATTTAGTTCACAAACTTACAGCTCATGTTGAAGTAATTTATGCTGAGAAGTGATTTTTCTAGCCAGTTGTTCAAATTTTTCAGTTAACGGTCGACATTCGATAGAATGTTTGAACAGGTGTACTGGGCTATAGATTGTCAGTGTAAGGCTTTGCTCTTTTAATCTACCTTTCTTCCTTCAGAACCATAGGATTTTCTGAACATTTGTTCAGCGTTAACTAAGACAAGTTTAACTGTTACCTTCCCATGTCAGTGACTAATGCACTAATACCCAGCTTTGGTTCTCCTTATTCATACCTCCCTCTTCTTAAACTGAGACCCATATCTGTTTAAAAAAATGTGAACACTAGGAAGACTTTACTCAGTGATGACTAACTGGATTTTCTTTGCTGAGTCTAACCTTGAAAAGCATTGATAATTAAATTCCACAAACAAAATTAATTGTATCTACTAGTAGTTACAGATTTTTCCTCATCAAACTTTTGAACAAAACTACTTAAAGTATAAGGTATTCGCTAGAAATCCAATCAGAAAGTTAGTGCTAGTTTACCTCTGCATGTTCATAACCCATACAAGTAATCTATAATCACATTTAAAAATATATAAGCTCTATGAGAGCAGAGATGTTTTTCTCTCATTTTCTGCAGCAGCGAACATGCACACACACACACACGCACACACACACATACACGTACATACACTGGAAAGTCAAGATTGGAAAGTTCCCTGAACAGTTAGGGAAAGGAGAGAGACATTGTGGTGTCATAGGAACAACCTGGACTTGGTATCTGCTCTGGGTTGTTCTACTAACTGTGGGAATCTGGAACAAGTTATTAACAGCTTCTGGCTCACTTTTATCTTGTCTTTATATTAAGACAACATTTGGCATTTACTTTTACATCAGTTATTAGTGTAATATGTGTTCGAAGGTGGAGAAGATGATGCTAAAGGGGAAGAATAAAGCTTTAGGCTGGAGAGAGGGTGGTCCAGATTTTCGGGGGAGGGGGCATTTCTCACTTTTCACTCTCACCTGTAGTTAGAGTTCTGTAGGGGGCTATAACCCAAACATACTGTGAATGAATTTGTACAGAGATTGAATAATGACCAGCATTAATAGGCAGGTAAAAATGCAGAAACAATATGAATACTTGTAAAAGCAATTTTTTTTTGAAAATATAGCAAAGGAAGCAACAATTACAAAGAGTGTCATCATACAGATGGAAGTTCCTATCAGGCATATGTGCTGGGGAGGTCGGGAAATTTCATGTAGGACCTCAACCAACAGTGACCCAATCCTGAACCTATGCGGCTAATAATGAACACATGGGTTCATCACACAATCAACTGTAAATTCTCACTCTTGAAGAATTGGCAGTCTTTCCTTTCCCGTAAAAGGATGAGTGCTGACGATTAGGAATCATAAATTAAGTTATAAAAGCAGAATTATTTAATGGATTAGGGTCATAGTTTGTTTAATAAGTAAACGGTTGGTCTGAGAGTTTATACTAGCTGAAGTTAAAAAATGATTTGTGATTTTTTTCTCTTTGGTTACGCATTTGATTGCTAACTATTGTCAAGTACAATTGTTAGGTGACATCACTAAGAATCTAAAATTGTATTCCATTGCCCAGAAAATTAAATCAGATTCCTTAGCTTGACTCTGAATGTCACATGCAATCCAAATGCCTATTCAAGTGCATTTTCTTTCAGTACTTTCCAGTCAATGGTGCCTCAGGTTTTCTCACAATCAGATGGTATTATTTATGCTGGGTCTATATTAGCTGGAATATGCTCCTACTTTGGATTCAAATTTTATTCAGTCTTTAGTATTAACCTCAATTGCCACCCCATCCAAAGCCTTCTCTGTTTGAGCAGCATTTATTCATTCTTATTTATTATTCATTTATTCATGTATTCACAGCCACTCCACAAATATTTATTGAGCACTTTCTATGGTACAGGTTGTCCTTTCCTAAACATGAGTTTTATTGTAGGTAGAGTCATATCCAAGTAATTATACTGAGACTTTATTTTAATGTTTATTTTCCCACCTCTGTAAAAGTGATCTCATAATGGCAATGATTATGGGTTGTTTGTTTGTTTTTTTTAAGGAGAGATTATGATAGTGTAAAACATGACTGGAAAGGGAGTTAGGAGGCTGGTTCTGTGTCTCCTATTGGCTGCAACTTAATTTGGGGCTAATTCAAACAAGACATTTATTAAACTTCTCTCAAGTTTTTTGCAGTGTTAGGCACTATAGGTGATACACAAATAAATGTATTTTATGTATGTTTGTTACTGACATGCATTAAAAAATTATTTTATAGAGCCAACAATCTAGAAGAAAGACCCTTAACCTGAGACCAGAGGAATGAATGTTTTAGCTCCAGATGATTTTAACCTAATTTTTGTATATGCATTTATATGCATTTTTATGAAGAGATGGTGAATAGCTTTTAGATGTTAAAAGTGTCACTGAGCCCTAGCTGGGTGGCTCAGTTGGTTGGAGCATCATCCTGTGAGCCAAAAGGTTTCTGGTTTGATTCCCAGTCAGGACAGTTACAGAAGGCAACTGACTGATCCGATGTCTGTCTCTCTCTCTCTCTTTCTCTCTCTCTCTCTCTCTCTCTCTCTCTCTCTCTCGCTCTCGCTCTCTTTCTCTCTTTCTCTCAGAATCAATAGAAACATATCCTTGGGTGAGGATTAAAAAAAAAAAAGGTGCCATTAATCATTAAAAAAATGAAGTTAAAAAGCTCACGATCTCAATGACCAGCTAAAGAACAAGACCCATAGAAGAATAACAATATGCTAAGCTGGGTTTGGAAAATGGTAAAATGGTACCTGCCTGTGGTCATTTAAGGAAAGGCTTTCTGAAAAAAAATAACTCTTGGAGTATTTGCCAGCTATCTTCTGGCTTCAGCTTCCTCATGGAGAAAGAAGATGAACTATAGGATCTCAGTTATTCTTCCCAGTTATAAAATTTGTTTTTTCCTTGATTAGATTATGAAATGCCTATCAAAATGCCGGCCACATCATGGGGATTCAGAAAACATCTGTTCATTATTCCTGAAATGAAACTTTTAAAATGTGTTGTCCCAAACATATCCACTATCTTGAGTTAAAATTGCAGAATATTATAGCATTAGCTTCCCAGTGTTTCATGAATGAAAAGAAACTTAACAGATGTTTATGTCATTGCTCACACTCTTTCACTTGGCAGATCAGAATGTTTAATTCATTAGTCTCCTTTATTGATTCATAGCACTTTTAATACCTTTAAATTTTTATTATGCTTTC